TGCTGTACGCCGGCGAGCACACGATCTCCAGGTGCAGCTCCTTGGCGAACGGCGGCACAGACAGCACGGACCGGCTGCCCTTCCCATCCGCGGCGCCGCTCCTTTCGTACCTCTGCGGAGGGCACGGGGCGCACCGTGAGCCGCGGCTGCCGCCGCCCCGCTCCCCGGGCTGCCCGGCCGTGGCTCACCTGCAGCCGGAGCTGTGCGGCGGCGGCGGGGTCGCAGCCCAGGTTGAAGGCCAGGGCCGGGGCCAGCAGCGCGGTGCCGTCGGCCGGGCCGCGGCGGGCGGCCCGCGGGTACTCCCAGGGCGGCGGCCGCGCCAGCAGCGCCGCCAGGTGCTCCCGGGCCGCCCCCTCGGCGCCCACCCGCACCCACTCGCCCTGGAACAGCCCCAGCGCCAGCAGCCCGCGCCGGCTCACCCACACCTCCGCCCCGCCGCTGCCGCCCGCCCCGCCGGGCACCGCCCGCAGCCGCGGCCCGGCGGCGGCGGCGGCGAAGCGGGAGACGAGGGGCGGCGCGGCGGCGGACGGGGGGCGGCCGCGGGCGGTGCCCGGCGGGGCGGGCGGCGGGGGGGCGAGGGCGGTGCGCGTCCCGCTGCCCAGCAACCCCTGCAGCGCCGGGCGCGCCTCCAGCACCAGCGGGCCCGGCCCGGGGCCCGGCCCCGGCAGCGCCTCGCCCCGCCGCGCCAGCACCGCGCCGCCCGCCAGCCTCCCCGCCCGCCCCGCCGCCCCCAGCAGCACCCAGGCCAGCGCCGGCGGGCTCCGCACGGGCCACACGGCCACCCTGCGGCCGGCCGCCAGCCCCAGGCGCCGCAGCAGCGCCCCGCGCAGCCACAGCTCCGCGCCGCGCCGCCCGCCCGCCTCCAGCGCCACGGCGCTCAGCAGCACCGGCTGCGCCCCGCCGCGCCCCGCCGGCCGCACCGCCAGCACCAGCGCGCCGCCCCGGCCGCGCAGCGCCGCGCACAGCCCCGCCGGCGCCAGCAGCAGCGCCGTGGCCGGCCACAGCTCGGCCGGCGGCGCGTCCAGCGGCCGCAGCACGGCCACCGCCATCGCGCCGGCGGAACTGGCAGCGGGGCCGCGCCGGGGCGGAGCGCGGTGCCCTCCACACCCCGCCCAGGCCGCAGAGTGGGAGGTGCGCTCCGGCATGGGGAGGTGCGCTCCGGCGCTCGTTCGGAGCCGTGCGGGCGGCAGCGACGCCCGGTGACGGCGGGCCCGTCCTCCCCGGCTCCGGCAGGCTGCAGCCAGAACCTGCGGATTCCCCCTCCCAGAGCGGGAAGGTGGCCGAAAAGGCGGGCGGGGATTTTGCTGTTCCGTGCCCCCCGCGAGGCTCACGGCCGCACAGTGTGGGATCGAGGGAAAGGGCACTCGGTGCGCTCGCCTGTGGCAGATGAGGAGATTTTGCGGGCTGGACACGCGCACCTGGTTTAAAAGAATGGACTTGTATTGGTGTTAGTGCTGAATTAACCTAGGAAAACATAGAATAGTCTGAGTTGGAAGGGACACATAGAATCATTAAAGCACGGCTTCTGTCCCTGCACAGGACAACTCCAATAATCACAGAGAATGCCCGAGAGTATTGTTCAAACACCCACTGAACTCTGTCGGGCTTGGTGCTGTGACCACTTGCCTGGGGAGCCTGTTCCAGTGCCCACCCACCCTATGGGTGAAGAAACTTTTCCTAATGTCCAACCTAAACCTCCCTTGATACAGTGTTAGAGCCATTCTCTCGGGTCCTGTCACTGGTCACCACAGACAAAAGATGAGCGAATGTCCTACTGCTTTAATCGTGAGGAAGCTGCAGACTGCAGTGGGGTCTCTCCTCAGTCTCCTCCAGGCTGAACAGACCAAGTCACCTCAGCTGCTCCTCACAAGGATGGCCGTGTCCCATCGCCCCGCTCCACACGAGGGAGCGCTTACAAAGCGTTCGGACTCGCTCTCTGAGCTCCCAGCCTGAAAATCCAACCTGCGGCTTGGGAGGATTGGCCAAAGCAAAGTGACACAGATATTAACACTGCTAAAGCTGTACGGAAATGGCACCGTGAAGATGCTTCTGCAAATGCAGCCTTCTCTGCTCTGGGCCCATCACTGGGACGTAAGACAATTCTGACCACCAGTGGTTGGGTCATTTTATCTCTGCTTTAAAATTAGGGAAATCAAGCAAAGAGAGTGGGACACCCCCACCACTCCCCCAGGGTGCCTGGCACTCGCTTCCAGTCAGTGAAGAGATCTGCATGTGCTGAACACTGGCTTTGAATTTACTGACTTCTCTTGCCTGGGCCACATGGAAGGGATCTTCTGTGGCAATGTTCCTCACTCGGGGCTCACCAAATGTGGTGGTGTTCACAGGGGTCCCAGGACAAGGGAAGAGACAAGAATCTCAATTCCATGTTTCAGAAGGCTGATTTATTATTTTATGATATATATTATATTAAAACTATACTAAAAGAATAGAAGAAAGGATTTCATCAGAAGGCTAGCAGGGAAAGAAAAGGAATGATAATAAAATCTTGTGACTGCTCACAGCCTCAACACAGGTGGCTGTCATTGGCCATCAAGTAAAAATAATTTTCACATGCTGGGGAAACAGTTCTCCAGATCACATTCCAAAGCAGCAAAACATGGAGAAGCTGGAGCTTCTCAGCTTCTCAGGAGAAAAGATCCTGGCAAAAGGATTTTTCATAAAATATGTCTGCGACAATCTTCTGCTTGAGTAAGCGCAGCACTTGCGGCTGAGGGATGCCCGGGGCTCCTTACAAAGGGAAGCTCGTGGCACCAGGCCCTGATGTGGTCACCAGGACGGCTGTGGGGTCTCACATGGAGCAGTGGAGATGTGTGCAAGTGGCAGCCATTGCCTTACACCAGGGTCACACTCTTGTCACTGAACCAGCACTGGCTGAGCCATGGCTGGCTCTGGCTGCCACTGATCCCAGGATGGGTCAAACCTGAAGCAACAACAAGAATGTGCTACCCTACTGCTATTGCTGCTCCAAGCAGTGACCTTGGAGGACAGTGGACACTTCCCTGCCAGGGTCAGTGCAGGCAGTGAGCATCTGAGTGACTCCCTGCTCCGAGGAGGGCAGCAGACCCTGTCACCAGGAGCTGAGTCTGGGCAGTCACTGCCATCCACCAGCATCTGTACCCCACAGCCACTTCCCAGCACATGAAAAGTGCCTCGGGCCAGTCGCCCTCCTCTTGGCTCCTCCTTCCCAGCTTGTGGTGAGCGCTGGGATCCCACCAGGCACTACCAGGAGCGTTCCCTGTGCACGCTGGAACTACAGTGTCTCCCCTTGTCGCGCTGGTGGTGGTGACGTGCCTGCTCTCACAGCCCTGCAGCCAGCACAAGGCAAGGAGCCAGGCCATCTGCACGCAGGCAGACCAAAGGGGGAAAAAAAAATAAATAAAAAGGATTGCAAGCATCCAGTGCCAGCGTGGCACAGCCCAAATAAAAGGTTTGCAGATGCTGCTCAGGCAGGATTAGGCCTCCAATGTGCTAAGTCTCGGCTCTCAGTGAGCCTAATTGCTGCTGCAATAAGCCCTGGCTGGTCCTTTCCTGAACCGTGCTCCCCACAGCCCCCCCAGCAAACTTTTTTTTTTTTTTTTCCCCTGCAAAGCTTGTATTTGCCATGCATATGTTACCCCTCCCCCCGGCAGCCTGGAGGGGTCTGGCCAAGCAAAGGAGGGGAAAAGCAGGAAATCTGCACGTGCCACTTACTGCTCTGCTCTTCCCAGGAACTGTCCCCCGTCTCTCCCCCTGTCCAGCCTGGAGCTGCATCTGTGAGAGCAGCCAGGCCCAGCAGCAGAGGCAGGAGCAGGGACAGCATCAGTACCTGGCCCACACACCCCCTGAGCTGTGTCGAGACACTTTCCAAATTGGAATTACTCAGATTTTAATAAAACCTTTTGATAATTTTCCGTTATGTTTTGGCTGGTAGATTAAACTGGAGGTGTTCCAGGAGAGCTGTCAAGGCATGTGCATGGGCCAGTTCAGCAACTGCCATGAGATGTGTCAAAGGAAGGTATAAATTGCAATACAGAGCATGAAAACCAAAGATACACCACAATTTTATTTATGGATGCGTAATAAATAAATGGTGGACAATACAGGAAGAGCCACATTCAAAAATCCAGATTACTAAAGTGCTTTTAGACATAAATATAGGGTGACCAAGAAACAGCTCTGACATTAACACTTTTTACAGACAATTACAAAATATCTTCTTATGTCACTTCACAAAATTGTTTAATTGCTCCAGGGTACTATGGCTTGCTTTTCAAAAAGGTTTGTTCTATCATGCATAGTGTGGCAAGTGACATTCAAGAGTGTACAAAATCATTGCATAAACAAAAAACCTCCTTACCCCCTTCTCCCAAATACGAGTTAAGGAAGATACACAGTGTAAATCCAGTGATAAGGCTGCATTGGCAGGCTAGATCCTCAGGGAATATAAACCTGCCTGGCTGTCAGGTTACACCAGCTTGAGGATGAACCCTACCATGTTTAAAAACCCTGCTGCTCCTCGAGGTGGAAGATTTGTGTGCTCGGCGTGGAAGGACTCGCACACGGGCTCCGCACCGGGGTGGAAGTGCTTGGAGAAGGCGTCTGTAAACTCCTGCACCATCCTTGCCCCTGTGTGCTGGAGGAGGGAGCAACTCCCAGCGTGTTGCTCCTCTTTGTGCTTCTGGCTAGCTGGGGGAGTGGTCCCAGCACGGAGGGGAAGGAAGGGGGCTCCTCCCCAGCAGCAGTCAGCGCTGACCACAATGCGCTCCCGTCCTCGCACTGCCCCCGTCCCCTCTGCCACCCTCCACCCTGGCTCTGCTGAGAAGTGAACAGCTTGAAAGTGAGGGGACGAGGGGGTGTGTGTGCCCAGTTTTAAAATGCCCTGAATTCGGATAAAAGTTCCGTTATTTAAGGAAAAAAAAATATATATATCAATAAATCAATAAATATTATGGTCTCGCCAGGATGCTGTGAGGTCTGGCCTCCTCCGGGGCAGCCCAGGCTCAGTGGTCCCTGTCCTTCTGCTCTGTGGGGGGGTCCCCGTTGATGTACTGCCTCAGCACACCCCTCTTCTCGTGCTTGGCTGTCCTGGAGAGGTCGATGGCTGTGTCCTCCGAGTCTTTTGCAGGCCCAAGCTTGTCAGAGCCCTTCTGGGAGCTGGCCTGCGTCCCTTTGAGTTCCTCCTCCTCCTCCTCCTCCTGCTCCACTCGCCAGCCATCTGCCAGCTTCTCTTGGCTCTCTGCCTTCCTGCTTACCTCCATGGACTTTTTGTGCATACCTTGCAGAGGGGAAAGAGAAAAGCCAAGGGCACTGGTTGCTTATCTCTGCTTGGGACGGCTCAGAATCACCTCCTGAATTACTGCTGCTTCCCACAGCTCTTGCCTACATCCCAAGGAAAGCTCTCTCTAACTACCAGCCTTTCCCAACCCAGAGCCCTGCCACCTGCTCTCTGCAGCCCGAGGGGATGGCTTGTGGCAAAATTAGTCTGTAGCTTCCCTGTAGCAGGGAAGGCTTACAGGGAGAGGTATGCTGTAATGGCCCATTCCAACCTGGAATGAGCAGAGGGTAGCTCTGAGGAAGCTCTGAGGTATCTTCAGTTTAGGGGCAGGTGGTGGTGACTTCTTAGATGCCTTGCAACTCCCATGCTGCCTGAGTGATACCCACCCACGTGCAGGCACCTGTCTGACACAGCAGTGAAAGGTTTTCCTTTCCCTAGCTGCTCTTTCCAAGGAGGAAGCTGAAAACCGAGGGCACTTGGCAGCCTACGTACAACTCAGGGCCAGGGAGGCCCCATTCCTTTCTGAAAAAGGGCAAGGGCAGCCGTATGAAAAATGAATCTGAGCCCTGATCCCCCCAGGTTGCCACTCACCCAGCAGCCACGGGGCGCAGGATCCCACCAGGCCGCTCTTGGCGGAGTTGAGGATGGACTCGGGCAGGGGGATGGAGTGCCGCACCATGGCGCCGTACAGGCCGTACTCGGCCATCACACTGCTCCGGCCCCAGCACTTCTCCCGCTTCCGCCACTTGGCTCTTCGGTTCTGAAACCAAACCTTCAGGGGTAACAGCCAGGAGAGCACGGAGGGGTGGGGTTGGGGAGGAGACAGCCCCCGAGGAGGCCGGGTGTGCAGGGCCCGTGGGGAATGAGGGAATGTCCATCCAGGGCGAGGTCAGCCGTGGGGGTGCGTGCAGGGTTGGGTGTGCAGACACCGTGTGGGGAGGGGTGTGAGGGAGGGCACACACGTGGGTGTCAGAGAGGGGAGGAAGGGGGGGAGAGGGAGCACATGTTAATTAACATCAGGCTGGTCGTGACACAGGAGGGTGATCCCAGCCAAAGTCACCCGACGCTGCTCCGCCTGCCCGCAGGGCCTCCCTGCCTGATCCACAAAGCACCAACCTCTCCAGAAAAAGGGCTCCATAATGCAGTCACCAATGATGACAGAAGGTGCTCGGGTCCCTCTTCCCACCCCACTCCTCCTCTATTTGAAGGTTCAAGGCAGTAGATATAACCAGGCTGCTGCCCAGATCACCACCTCATTATTAAGCTACTGAGCTGTTCCATAGGGGAGCAGGATCAGGCCCTAAAATGCCACGTGTCCCTCAAAGGGACAAGCTAGTGAGCAAGCTCCTGTGTCACAGCTTGGCCCAGCAGCTCCAAATTGCTCCCAGCTCCTGCCTGAGTGGGAGGACAGAGCCAAGTTGCCAGCAAAGAGCAACTGCTGGGGCCAGCTCAGTGCCCTGGTTCTGCATGTCCATTGGGAGGCTGTTCGATGCCAGCAGGCAGAAGCCGAGCCTCCCCCCAGGCGCCCTGCAGCGTTTCGGCGCCACCACGTTCCCACCACCTGCATCCACTGCCGCAGAGCACAGGAGACGGCCCCGGGTGCTGGCGGCCCGCAGACTCCTCGGGAGAGAGAGGATCGCTGCAGCCACCTACCTGTATCCTGTCCTCCGGCAGCTCCGTCTTCACAGCCAGCATCTCCCGGGCATACACGTCGGGGTAGTGCGCTTCATTGAAAGCCTTCTCCAGCTCCTCCAGCTGGTGAGCTGTGAATACAGTCCTGCCGAGAGGAGAGAGCATCCTGTCACACCGTCCGGACCCTTGGGCAAACAGCGAGGCTGGCAGCACCCCCACGCTGAGGTTTTCCTCCGGAAAATCCTCCCCCCACCCCAGCTGCAGCCCTCCTCTTTCCTCTTTTTCCTCTCTTTATCCCCCTTGGGGATACCGACCGCGCCAGCCTGGGGAGAAGAGGAACAGCGAGAGGATGGTGGCAGCAGGAGGAGGTGAGAACGGGGACACAGCCAGACTCCGGGGCGCTACCTGTGCCGGCGCTTCTTCCTCTTGATCTGGGAGCTGGACATCTTCAGCTCGCTGGCGTCCCCAGACAGGCTGTCCTCATCTGGCAGCAGCAAGCGGGAGGGGAAGAGTCACGTTCCCGTCGAGAGCGGGGCACCCGAACGCAGCTCCCCGAGCACGGTTCCAGCCGCCCGCGGGGAGCGGGCCCGGGGCTCGGAGGGGTTCCCTCCCCCAGCTGAGCCCGCGGTGCCGCACCGCTGATGCCATCCCGGGGCAGGGGGTGGGAGCCCGCATTGCCGGAGGGTGAAAGGTGAAAGGCTCGGCATCCCGGCGGGCCGGGCGGCACGGGAGCCGCACCGGCGGGACGATGGTGCGGGGCAGCCCCGGCAGCGGCTCGGGACGGGGATCCCCGTGCGCGGCCACCCTCGACCCCGACCCCGCTCACCGGAGATGTTCTCCTTGTGGCGGCGGGCGGCGGGCGGCGGCCCGGGCGGCGGGCGGGGGCCGCGGGCGGGCAGGAGCGGCAGCGGGGCGGGCAGCAGGCACGGCGCTCCCGGCCCGCCCAGGCTGCACAGCAGCCCCAGCCCCAGCCCCAGCGCCCCGCCGCCCTCGTAGCCACCGGCGGTGGCGGCCGGGGGGGGCCCGGGGGGCGGCTGCAGCTCGGCTTCCAGCCCCAGCAGGTCGGTGATGGCGAAGCCCTTGGCGCGCAGCCCCGCGCCTCCCGGTCGCGCCGCCGCGCCCGGTGTCACCGGCACGGGCACCGCCACCGGCCCCGCCGCCGCGCGTCCCCCCGACGGCTCCGCCCGGCCCGGCATCGCCGCCGCCGCCGCCGCCGCCTGGCCCGGCCACCACCGCCCGCCGCCCTTTTTATCGTCCCGCCGCCGGTCCCGGCTCCAATCACACTCCAGACCGGCGGGGGGGCGCTCCCAATCCCGGGATTAACAGCCTCGGTCCCCCCTCCCGCCCGCACAGGTCCCGCGCCCCTCCCCCGGCGCTCCCGGGCCACCGCCCGGCCCCCCGCCGCCCCCTCTCGCCGTCCCTCCCTCCGCTCCCCTCGGCCCCCGCCCCTCGGTCCGTACCACCCCCGCCGGCCCCCTGCGGTTGCGCTCGGACCCTCTCCAGGACCCCCTCTCGGTGCCCGTCCCGCCCCGGCCCGGTCACCCTGTTCCCCTCCATGCCCCATAAATCCGTCTCACATCCCCTTGGGTTCCCTCTCCGGGTTTCCTCCCAGGAACTCCCTGCTGTGTCCCTGTGTCCCCACATCCCCTCTTCCATTGCACAGCAGTACACTTCCCGGTACCCCCATTCCAGCCCAGGACTCTTCAGCCCCACATCCCAGATGGGACATCCCACTGGGCTCAGCAGCCTAGAGACGGGGATGGGAACAGGCAGGGGCTGCTGGGCAGGAGCCTCCCCTGACCCCAGGTGTCTTGGCACCCCGGCCAGGGCCACCCCGAGGTGCCTGGCCTCTGTGCTCCCTTTTGCTCCCAGATTCTTGCACCTGGGCTGCAATTTTTTTCCCTCTTCCCTTCATCTGTTGATGGAAATGATTTACAACCGGCTTACATGGGCCGCCTGATCCAGGCCTTCATTGGACGGTCAGATTAACCGAGGGTCCTTCTGATAAAGATAATTACAAGGGGACTCCGCATTAACTTTGCATTATTAAAGAAAGACCCAAATCTCCCATCGCAAGCTGTTCCCAGGATTAGCAGAACAATAACTTTCATTTAGGATAATTGCCGTGGCCGGCACTGGGGGCTGGTGGGGGGGACCCTCTGGACCGTCGTGCTTCTCACCAAGAAAGGCAAATGGGTGTGAGGGGACCGGGAGGTGTGGAAGTGTGACCACCAATTTGGGGTGCTCATGTGCTTGGGATGAAGGGATGCTCGGGGCATCCCCACCCAGAGTTGCCCCCTGCCCGGACACAGAGCACCCCGGGATCCCCTTGGGCATCTTCGCTTCTCCAGAGTGGTTTTGCTGCAGTTTTGCTGGAATAGGAGACTTTCACTGCTAGGCAGGGAGGATCTGCCACAGTAATTAGAAGTCATAATCCGGCCACCACCCACAACAAATTTCCTGTTCGAGCAGATATTAGTGGTTAAAACCCTAATTTTTGATGTTGTCCCAGAATCAGCTTGATTTCAGCAGTTTACATTGAGGCTGAGCTGTTGGGAGAGATGATGAAGCCTTAAATATGCATATGGCCTAGGCATTTGGAAAGTTTGGGGATAAAGCACGTATAATTGCTCCTAATCAGTTTATGAAACATAAAAGCTCAAACCCAAGAGAAAGCCGATAGATGCAGAAATGGAAATAGCGATTAAATCTCCCCATGCTGGCAAGGTGGCCTGGATATGGCGCTGCCTCCCAGGGCCAGGGTGAGCGAGGCTGTGCCCTGGGGGACGGGGACACACCCGCTCCCGGGACAGGACACTGGGATGGGCTGTGGGGACACTCCTGCTGCACCCCCAGCTCCCCCAGCCACGGTGGAGATGGGCACCTCCACCAGTCCTTTGGACAATAAATCAGTTAAAGGATCTCTTGATATATGCTCATCAGATAGGATTAGCTGGGATTAGACTAATCAGTAAATGTTTCTCTGCTCATTATTTTCTAAGGAAGATTTTCAGCTGATTCTCCGACGCCGAAAGATTATTAATCGCTTAAAGAGCAGAACATCAAACATCGCCCCTTGCTCTAATTTCCCTGGGGTTTGCCCCCCCTCTCCATGGGCAGGGTGCCTGTGCCAGCCGGCCCAGCAGCCTCAAGGTGCCCCAGCAGCCAGAACGTCCATGGGGCTCTACCAGAGCAGCCCAAGGCCACAGGACCCCGGCCTCGGTGCAGCCCCATGTCCCAGGGGGTGAGCGCTGCCTGCAGCTGATGCTGGAGCACCCCCGTCCCTGCTGCACTTTGCAGGACTAGGGACACAGCCAGGTGGGACAGTCCCCAGATTGTCCCCTCCTCCCCATGGCTGCTCCAGCACCGTGTCAGACACCTGCCATGACCTACAGGATGGAGGGCACGCGTGGTGGGATGGATACCTGGAGCTGTCCCTCTCAGAGCCCAGAAACAAGCCTTGGAAGTCCTTAGAGGATTACAGACACATACAGCATTTTGTCAGACCCTCCTCAGCTGATGATAACTCCAGAGCCAGCATTTGGTGGGTTTTTGGAGTCCCTGTCTTCTCCGTGGGCTCAGGGAAAGCCCCAAAGGATGTACACTCATCCTGCAACCACCTGCTGTAGCAACGAGGAGGGGGCAGCAAGGAGAAGGTATTGAAGGGCCTGGTTTAGGGGATTAGTAATGGGATAAGACAGCTTTCACCTCCCTGGTTTAGATATGAATCAGGTCAATAATAAAGGACCATCTGACAGTTTCAGGCAGCTCGGGGTGGAAGAGGCTCCTGTGCCCCAGGCTGGATGGAGAACCCATCTCCAAAAGCGCAGCTCTTACTGCACACCCACCCGTGGTACCTGCATCAGCAGTCACTGCCCAGTCCTCCTCCCCAGCTCCACACCCCTACACCTGCTGTGTAGGGCAAGCTCAGCCAGCCTGTTGGTGGCCATGGTGGGCCTTGCACAGGTACAGGGTGACCCAGAGGTGGGGTGCAGCAGGGTGAGCAGCCAGCTGATGGCAACACAGGCAGTGTGGCAAGGGTGGGAACCTCAACAAGCATGGACAGAAGAAAAAGGGCTTTTCTTCTGCCTCCTCCACATCCTGCTGGGAACATGGGGAAGTGCTGGCTGTTGTGAAAGCATTGTCTCTGACACGTGGGTGAAAAGGAACTGAGAAACAGGCCATAGCTAGGGGAGAAGGCAGCAAAGAGGGGGGTGTTGCAGCCAGTCCCATTTGCCTTTTGCAAGGCTAAATCCCCACCTCTAAGTTACAGACGAGCCTCCTCCTTGAAATGCAGGCAATGAGACTTTCCTCAGGCTGCAGCAGGGCTCAGTGGTGGATTGTGTGCACACTCCTGTCCAGGTAGGAATGGATATCTGTAGTGGCCAAGTACCAACCATTTTGGGGTGATGGATTTGCAGAGGCAGGCAGCGTGAACAGGTTAAAAGAATCAGGGAACCTGTGCTCCCTGCACTGTCAGGCTGTGGGAAGTGCTTTGTTGGCAGCTCCACAGGATGTGGGTGAAGCAGAGGGTTTGCAGGCTGAGCACAGCCACAGCTGGCCACGCACCACCTGCTCAGTGCTGTAGCATCACCAGCCCAGCTGACTGCAAGTGTTGTCAGCCCTAATTTGGCACGGGGGGTCCCTTTCCTTGTCCACACACCCCAGAGACATCCCTACTAATTCCTCTGCACAGATTTCTGTCTTAAGGCATTTGCCTTTGATTAAAACCAGAAGAGCAGTCACGGTTTAAGTGGAGTTTAAGAGCAAACCATGTGCTGCTGCACAGGGCGCTCACATCTGGAGTGTCACAGATTTAATCAAACTGCTGGGAAGTGCCACATGCAGACAGCTGTCACAGCAGCCTGGAGCCCATCTCCTAATTAATTCCCAGCCAACACAGGGCAAACAAATGGCCAACAAGGTGCTGCACCTACAACATCAACTGTGAGCATGGCTGGCAGTTGGTGAGCGAGCAGAGCTCACCCTGTGCATCTCCAAGGAGCTGTAGGTGATGTAGTCCATGGCAAGTGCTGTTCCTGCTCCCAGGGAGGAGCCTGGGGCTTGTTCCAGAGGTGTATGTATGGGAACAGGAGGGACAGAGTGCTCAGGAAGGAACCCAGATGGAGCAGGCACGACATCGGTAGCTCCGATTTCTGGTTGCTCCTTCAGCTGCTGCTTTTTACTTCCCCTCCTTCTTGCTTCTGCCAAACTTGTTGCTTTCTAGTGCCATTTATCTGCCCATCTCACATCCCCATGGGCAACCCCCTCTTGTCCTATGCAGGATGTGTGAGCTGGAACACACAGCCCTCCTCAGAGATGCTCTGCCTGGTGCTACTCAGGGCCCAGCACCTGATGCAGACTCTGGGCGAACCCTGCTGCCACAGCCTTAAGCAAGATCTGGGCAATGGCAAAACAGGTCAGGCCCAGACTCGGTTCTCCTTGGTGCTCATTCACAGCTCATTAAAGCTAATTGAAATGACTACCAAAGCTGGGTCTATGTGGGTGTTTGGAAGCTCTGGGCACAAGGCACAACTAGGCTGGGAATATCCAACTGTGAGGAGCCCCAAACTAGCCGATGGACTGTCTACTCCAATTAGCCCCACAAAAGAGCTATTATTCCTTTGCACTATGCTTGTCTGATTAATTTATCTTATTATTTTTTGATCATTCCTCCAAAATGTGCTAATTAAACAGAAATCATCAAGTCAATTAGAGAAACTCTCATTAAAGCCGAAAAGAAAAGAAAGTATCGGCAGAAGAAAAACGGCTGTGAGGGTCCCAAACACACACAATAGCTGCCACATTCATTAAATCAGCAACTCCCAAAAGAGGGGTAGACACTGTCCCACTCTGGTCTGCGCCCTGGAAATGAAACTTCCCAAGAGACAGAGTCAGATTCTCCTCTCCCTCTCCCTCTCCCTCTCCTCTCCTCTCCTCTCCTCTCTTTCCCAGCTCCCAGCTCAGGAGTAAAGTGAGCCCCCAGGCAGCACCTTCTCCATGTTCACACCCAGCACCTCACCCAGCAGAAGCCTTCCAGAAAAATGCTTCCCTTTGCACCTCCCTCCCCTGGCCAGGAAGCAAGACACAGGAAAATCCAGGCGAACGTGCTAAACAATGATTTCAGCAAGTAAAGAAAGGGAGATCACAGTTTGTTCTGACCCCAGAGTGGCAGAGTGTCCAGCTCAGCTCTGGT